CTCCCCTCTTTCCAAAAACAACAACAGAGAGCCACAGAATCCTTTGTTTCCTGTCTGGCCCTGGGAACCAACAGGGTCCTGTGGCATGAAAACCCTGCAGGCGTCCACACGGATGCCTGTCTGCCTCTTTCATTGGTTCTCCAGTCACCAATAACACTAGACGTGATTACGGGATCTAAAGTGGGGAAACAAGAACCTGCAGCTGGGGAGGCTAGCTAAATACAATAATGTGGGCCGAGTGAGAACTCTAAACTGGAGAGAGGGGTGCTGTGGGTGTATATCGGAGGGCAGGGGGGAGTAAGAGGAGAGGCAATAAAGGAAAATCAGCGTTTTTATTATTGAGCCATTACGAGCTCGCTATCCCTGGAATCTTGTAAAAGCAGTTGAGCGTGACTGCTTTTTAAGACTTACTAGATCCCAGATGTGTAGATGGGCTGCATGGCCTGGTAGATTTTGAGAAAAGGACGACAACCTGGGACATAAAAAATGCATTTAAGAAAGGGGTTCAAAGCTAAATTATGCGTGGTATATGTGTGTGTGTGTGTGTGTGTGTGAGAGAGATACTCGCCTCCCTTGGACTCGAAGTTGGGGATGCCGTGCATGATGACGTGATGGAGGAACAGCGGCTTGTTGTTGATCTTGATGTGTCCGGACAGCAAGCCGCTAAAGTACTCCACATACCTGAGTGAACAGAGGGAGAGAAGCAGCGGGGATTAAAGTGATGCCCAGTGTTTGACCACTAAAGGATGAACATGTAATCCAAGACACAAGCTTTCACTTTGACCTTTAGCTTGTCAGTCATGTCAAAGGAGCCAAAAAACTTCATGCACCAAATGATTTAAAGTGGCACTAATCACAAACTATATTTACTAAGACAGATCCAAAGACAACTGCCACCCAACTCTGCATGTTCAGCCAATTATGAATCTTTGATTTTGGTTATCTGCCAACCAACGAACACAACTATGAATCCACCACAGAGGATCTTATAGCAGCTAAAAAGCCTTTCTTTAAATAAGACTGACCAAAATTCATAACAGGGCAGAAATGCGACTCCAAATGAAAATGAATCTTAACGTTGACTGCTGAACGTCTACGCGTGCAAACGATTCTTGAAAGTTCCCACTTTGTTTGTGGTTCCTTCTACTGCCCCCCGGAGGCCATTAAAATCAATTAATGCGGCTTTAAAAATGTAGTGAAGTGACACAAGCGAGAGAGTTCACTCAGGGGTCAAACTTGAAACAACATTGGAGGGAAGACTGACCTTTTCTGAGATGGCTGACCCACAGGAAGCACTTTGTCTTCATAGAAGCGTTTCATGGCAAATCTGTCCAGAGCCTGGTCGGCACTGCATTTCAAAATAAAGTTTTGTTAGAGAACATTTTCTAGTCCATTTCCATTTCAGTATTTCTGGAATGTTTTTTTAAAAATGTTTTTTTTTCCCTTTTATTTAACTGGGAATTCCTTTGATATAAAAAGCTCTCAAGAAAAAAAGGCAGCCGTAAGGTTGCAAAAATTAGAAAGTTGAAAATAACAAAAACAGACATGAGTAAAAAAAAATGGAGAAGATCAAAATGACCCCTGTAGAGTATTAGCTTGATAACTAGAGGAGAGAAAAGCCGAAGTAACCACAGTAGGTCTATTCATGATTTGTTAGAGATCAGAACAATGTGCAGCTGTTGGAAATGTGGATACCTTAGAATAAGTAAGACAACAAATAAAAGAACGAAGGAAAAAACAAGAAAAATGTTTTAATGACAGTGTACTATGCTATACGTCCCACAAGAAACTAATGACAGCTGTTCTACTTAACCTCAATGCAAAGAGTCAATCAAAAGCTTTGACCATAAATCAACTTTTCCCTGCACATCTGGCACATCACAATTTCACAGTTGTTTTCTGTTTGAAGCTCCTTTACCTTAGCCTGCAGGATAATGGAATAACAAAGGAACCTGACAGCTGTGCAGGAAAGTACGACGTTTTTGGGTTTTTTTATGAACAATCGGTGTCATTTTAAAAACAACGTTGATTGGTGCTCGTCTGGTTGTTTCTTTACCAGGAGGTCATTCTGTTAGTGGTCCTATCTAAGAAACAAAGCCAACACAGAAAACGAAAAGCAGCTCACTTATAATCTGAGTCGCATGATGCGATGTCTCTTAGAACTTAACTCACTTTAGCTCACTTTTATAATTATGACATCAGGACCTGTTCTTTTGATTTACCAGAATTAAACTGGTGGTCTTCAGTCTCATGTTCTAACCCCCCTCCCACTGCCTCATCACATCTTTAACTGTACTTCAGATGTGGGCTTCAAACCTGTGAACAATGCAGGCTTAACAAGTTTTTCCTCTTAAGCCTGTCCTCAGGTAACCCCCCCTCCCCCTTGTTTTCCAAAAATGCCAGATTTCATCTTCACGCCTTCTCTTTCTGACTTTCGCCCCACTTTTTAAGTGGCCGGGACATGTGACTTTAGCTCCAGCTGCAGCTGGGATCAGAGACCTACCTGGCAGATATGTTGCTGTAATGCATGTAAGCCGCCACCACCACTCCTGTTCTGCCTCGATTGCCCTGAAAAGACATCAGTCAAGCACAAGTAAGCTAATTTTATCTTCATCTCATGATGGTCAAGCATGCAGAAAACAATATTGTTATGGATTTCTTCTCTAGGTATTTCAGGCACTAACTGTGTAATGTCCAAATATGTTTAATGGTTATTTTAGTCATGTAGAATATAACAAAAGACATAAAAATAATTCAAAGTTCAAAAGAAGCAAAGAGGTACAGATATCATTCCCAGGTTAACGATAGCCATCAAATTTACACAATAAGGACCAGATGGCCCTTATTTTTACAGGAACTGCAACATTATTTAGTATCACGTTAGATAGGGTTGTTCTCTTTTTTAAAAGTAATTTTATTTTTGTTAAATTTCAAGAAGGGCATGTCCTTATTTGCAGTTCAGTTCCACCACAGGGTGCTCCACTTACACTGAGGTCCAGAAGTACTTGAAGAAAGAAAATCTGTTGTAGTTTTGGAAATTTGGGTGTGACTGTGTGTTAAGACGTCTGAAATTCCTAAATACTTGTGCAATACTTTTGTTAGACACCTTGAATTAAAGCTGAAGGTGTGCACATACAAAGTATGATATATGCACTGTTGCAATCAGACAATTGTGTTTGATGTAGGCTAATTGAAAAGTTGATACAGAATGTTAAAAGTTGCTTTATGCAGGTATACGTAACCTCAGAACACATCAACTTTATGCATATTAAATGTCAAAATTTTCCAATAGAAAGTTCTTATTTGGAATCAGGCTCCAAATGACACTGTATTTAAAATAATCTATCATATTATGTTTGACTTATACAAATTCATTAAACTATGGCCTTCTTTAAAAGAAAAATGCTGTCAGGAATGCAGAGATTCAAAAACGGCAATTTTTTTTTTCTGTCATGGTAGATTCCTTGGATAAGTCTCCAGGCCCCAACCGAGAACATTGGGACTCTCCAGAGCCACAGAAAACATTATGCAACTATTTTCACAAGCTGAGCCCTCCGCATGACCAGTAAACGGACCGTTTTGTGTAAAACTGGTGAAGTGGCCCACGTCTGGTTGTAAAAAACGTCTGCATATTTGAGCACGTATACGTGTCCAGGCACGTGATACTATGTCAACAGAGACGGCGTTCATTTTAGCCCATCTATCCGCCTTTAAAACAAAGCTCGTGGTGGCGAATGAGTGAGTTCCACATTATAAATATCGCGGCAGCTTTAACAGCGTGGAGCCCAGTGGAAATGATTTGTGGAAACCAGCACGGTCAGCTTCCTTAGTGACCAAACTGTCGTTACTCAACTGGCAGGAAAAAACCAAAAAAACAACAGCGGTTGCTACAGCAGCCGACTTGTTAGTAGCCTCCCTGTGGGAATGTTTTAGGATCCCATGGTTAATTCCTATGTTGCAAAACACAATCAGGAACAGAGCGGGGTTAACGTGAAAATGATTAGGTATTACATTCGGGACGGCAGCCTAGTAGCTGTATTGGATATACTCTTTATGGTGTGTGTCAGCACACTGAGGCTTCCCACAAGCGCATAATGTGATCCAAGTAAGTTTAGGCAACAACAGGAAAATATCGGTCACTTTAGTTTTTATGGTATTGTTAAGGGTAAAAGGGGTAAATAAACCTAAGTAGCCATGATGACTGGCATGCCTTACAGCCTTAATTTGTGTTTTCCTAACCATCATCCAGCCCCAACAAGCACACAAAGAGACACACTCAGTGTCAGTGTTTCACTCAGATCATTAGACGCACACATGCACAAACAGCTGCAGCCTCTGAGGTAAGCAGGGGTCGTGAAAAGCCTGAGAGCACCCTCTACTGCCTGCAGAGATTGACTGTTTTTACAGCATCTTCTCGTTTTTCACTCTTACCTTATTGTGTATAACCACAACATTGTGGCTGTCCGCACTCAGCCACGTGTCCATGGCCTTACAGATGCTGCAGATTTTGTCCAAGGCTGGAGCGTGGTGGTCGGGCCAGCCAAAGTCCAGAACCTGAGAGAGGAGGAGAAGAAAGGTTGCTGTTCATACCGGTGGTCATACGGTAACAAAGACAAAGAGAGGAGATGTTAAGCAGGCAGCTGTACCTTTGGATTGAGTTGGCTGATGTCATAGCGCTTCTCACTGAGGTTGAAGAGCTAAAGAAAAGTACAAATAAATATTACACAAGATATTAAAGGAGAGAGGCAGGGCACTCTGGGAATCCTGAATACGAAAATATTAGAGAATTCGTACAGCCAAGCCAGTAAGCAACTGAACCAAACATGGGGGTTCGTGATATGAGATGTACTCATTATCACCTCAGTCTTTGGTTATCATAGTAAAGGTAAGGGTACACATGTTTTTATTTGCCTATAATCTGAGTTAGAATCATATTTGTTCAGTGTGTTTGTGGGATCAGCCAGACGGAATGATACACCACACATTACAGCTACAGGGCCATGGGAACCTGTGCCATGAAGCTCCTGGTGCACAGCTTCTGTGCTGATGTTCATCCTAGAGGAGGTTTGGAGCTCTGTAGTTATTGGCAGTTGGCAGCTTTTAGGCATTATGCACCTTGTGTGTGAGTTGCTGATTCCTAAACGCTTCCACTTGGCAATAATAAAGTTTAAAACAGATTAAAAAATATTTAGCAGAAAGAAAAAACTTCATAAGCTGACTTGTTGCAATGGTGGCACCTTATTAATTCAATTCAAAAGACCACTGAAATTAATGCTATGGCTCTCTTCCCATTTTATTTTCGGGCTTCTATCAAAATATTGTCAAG